ATGTAAGAGCTGAGTGTGTGAAGACAGCAAGCTCCTTCGAGTTCTCGCACGGTTACCAGTGATGAATGTCACACAATATATATCCTCTTTATAACTTCGAGCTTTCGGGAAGTTCCTAGCTCTTGAAATGGTAAACAGTATTAGGATGAAGGATTTCTATGAGTGAAGATAAGGTGAGGTTCACTGGAAGCACGCGTGGACATTTCATGTGGGACTGAGATAGTTGAATGCGACGAGGGTATTTCGGATTTTTGAATTTTGCATTGCTAGTGTTCTGATTGGTTCACTCGACTCCGGTAGCTTCCATGGAAATACATTGCGACGACTGTTGCGGAGTTGAAAAAAGCTCCAAATACACAAACGTTCATGATTTGATGAAATTAAATTAAAAAATTATTCCATTCGCCCTTATTGGATACGAGCCTGGTTATAGCCAACTTGTATCCAACACATGCTTAAGGAATAATAATTGGTAATTAAGTCGCTTTTTCGGCGGTATACGGAATTAGTATATGCTAAAATAGTGGATAGCGTTGAATGCGCGCTTTGATTGGCTAGTCAAACTCCGAAAATCCTTTGCTATTTACCTCCGGGCAACTCGGGAAAAAATGGCGTCCCGGTGCATCCGTGAGAAGCGAAGAAATTACTCAAATTAACGACGAAGCAGTCCCTGAAAACACAAAGAAAGCGACTAAATTTGGTTTGGCCGTGTTTAAAGGTAATGGTGTACGCTTTTAACCCGGAGTTTATCGATAAAAACCAATGAGAAAGGTTTTGTTTACAAATGCAAATTAACCTTGCGTAACCTCACTTGTTCACTTCCGCGCGTGAAAATGTTAGAATCGTTGCTGGAATGTATGAATTAAAATAAACTTTTGGTGGTGTATATTATCTCACTGTTCTAGTATATGCTAACACAACTATTCACCTCGGTGTCGGTGGTCAGCGATGGATATTTACCTCGCCGCTTTCGCGGCTCGGTAAATATCCACCACTAACCATCTCCACTTCGGTGAATAGTTGTTAAATATCCAACGTACTATTGGGGGTAAGTCGAAGAGCCTCAGTCTGGGTGTTGAATAGGTTTTGGTTGAAGAGGGTCTGCTGTAAACTGTCAGCTTTTTAAGATAATTGAATGCTCTACTTTGTAAGCTTTCAAAAACCTTTTTTTTCTCATCTGGATCCCTCTTAAAATGACCACTGAAATTGAAAACACTTGAAATTATTCATTAGAAACTTCATTTGTTAGACAGTTTTTCGTCCTTCCATTAAAAGCACACGTCAGTAAAAAATTAAGTACTAGAAACAAATACAGAAGTGTTTCTCATTTCGAAACTTAGTCCGCTAAGTTAGTCAAACGCGGTTCGTACCTTTTCGCCCTGGCAGTTTCAGATCACCTCAGAATTTTGGAGATAATGCCCTATAAACCCTTATTTTTTTATGATAAACGGACACCATGCAGAGAAGGTCGCAGAAGTCATCTCCGATGGATATTTGTGAGTTCACGCGTGTATCACGAATAACATGCACCATACTGTCGCTATCACTGATAAGATATCTTTCATAATGCAAGTATAACTCCTGCAGTGGCAACGTCAATTGCCGGTAGATTTAATAGCGCGCTGATCACAGTTATATGTCAGTGTGAGAAGACTTCAAAAATGATTTGCATTCTCTTTCAGTTTGGCGCGTAGCCTTGTAACAGCTGGTCAATTTTTCGAGATTGGTTCGATCCATTTGTATTATAATTGCGAGTCGGACTAGTTACCTCTTGCGTTTCTGTCTGGATTTAGATATAAACTTTAGGGGCTTAAAAATCTTGTCCGGAGAAACACGCAAACGCGCAGACAAACAATCTCATCGGTGAATTCTGTAAGGAATATGTTGAATTTTTTTTGGAATGGATTTGGTTACTGAAAATAACACGTTCCCAAAATGTCAAGATAAGACGATCCTGGAATAATATTTGCTTACTTTCAAAGATTATCAAACATTTTTATTTTAGTTTATCGCAAAATGAAAGAGAAATTGGTTTTAAAATGTATGTAGACCGATTTTGTTTCTCGTGTTTTTCTATGTAGTCTTCATTTATTATTTATATATTTCTATTTCCCAAATATTTACCCTTTTACCCCAGAGCTTTGCAGCTGCCAAGTGACAATTTTAAAAATACTCTGATACCTGTCGTGACTTTAACCTTCTAATTTCATTGCCATGCGGAGTTATTTTCCAAGTGGCAATTTTACTGTTGAAGCGCTCGAAATAATTAGGAAATTTGCGTTTAATAAATAGTAATCTTCTACATTGTCATGGTCCCATCACGTCACGCAGAATGCATCACGCTCATTTCACGCTTCATTAAACACGCAACCTATAAAGCCTGTTGGAGTTTGTCTGATCGAGAACAAGTGATCTGTAAACTACTTTCCTGTCTGTGGGTTGACACGCTGGCTTTCGATTTCGTATCGTTGTGGTACTCTGTGCGCCTCTTGGCGTAATGAATAGACTTTTTTGGATCAGGAAATGTGCTGATAGTTCACACAGATGACAAAAAAACTTTTGAAAGCGAGGATTATGCGTAATTAAAAGCTAGCCTTTATTCGGCAGGAAATGGCTTGCGCTCAAAGGCGGGATTTGTCCTACGGTAGGTTGATCGTTTTGTATTTTTTATCCTTTCTCTCAAGTTTGGAGTGAAAATTGCTGGGACCTGTTTCAACCTCTGACACTTACGTGCCATTTTAAGGAAATAACACTTCAATTTCACGAAAATGTCTCAAGGCGATAACGCGGTGAAAATGTTATTAGCTGGAACTTACTCGGTTGAAAGTACTTCAGATGAACGACACATGGTTACGTGTACCTTGGAATGCGTTTTTACGGATCTTCTTATCGCTTCCATCTGAGGCAATTTGCAAAATTTTCCAATCTTTCATAGCGTAGTTCGAATGACTGTGGTTATCTAATTTTGAAAAAATGCCAGTGATCGGGTTCTGTTTATAACCAAGCCAAGTTCATCCATCATGAAACACTCTACGATGCAGAGTTCTATGAACTTACAACTTTGATAATTGATGACAATTGTAACTGGGTATGCTTCTAATTTAGCGACGGAGAAATGCTGTCTTTCTTAAAATGTATGTTCTATTGATGTCATTAGTTCTTGTGGGTTCTGTTAATTTATTCTAGCAAGTTCAGGCTCTAATCAAATAATACACGAACTAGCACTTCGCTATGATTCACAATTTCTAGAGAAACGTTTGATATTTCTTGTTTAATGTATCTTTGTTAATTTGTAGTTCAGTAACCGAGGTTGGACAGAAGGTCACACAATTATTTCTGTGTCGATCAAAACTGCAAAAATCGAAATGTATATGTGTATTTACAATTAACTTTTTCAGTGGGGTTAGACGTGCAATAACCATAATTACCCCAAAATTCTCTCAGGGTTTAAAAGGATCGAACCATGTCTTAAGAAATGATTTCGGGTTAGGTTCCTTTGAGTTTTGTTCGAGCGATCGCCTCCGGTATCGAAATTTTAAAACAGCTTTATTAACACTCTCTCTCTCTCTTGTTTACATTATATTTAATGGTTTAGCCGTTGTTTTCGTTTCAAAAGGAAGTTAAAATCTGAAGTGCTAATTTGCAGACAGCGATAACAATGAACTGGAAGGTTCTCACGATTACTGAACTGAAACATATGTTTAGGAATTTGCACTGAAATATGAAGACTTCCTAAATTAAGAGATGACAATTCTGAAAATTCGATTTTCAGAGTTCATCCCACAGTTTTGATATTCGCTCTGGTTTTTCTTTATATTTTCAATTATGTCATATTGCTTTTATTGTTATGTTTTGCAAGTCCAATATATATGATTTTACAAATATGCATTTTTCCATAGAAGAGAGTGCCTCCTGTTGTCCTTGTGAATTCGTAATTTATTTTATACTATGAAAAATTTTTCTCCAAATAAAAAAAACGTTTTCGGGAGTTAACAAAATGATTGCAGAAAAAACAACAGATTTAAAACTAAACAAGTTAAACAAAGGGATAATTTAAATAAATTGAAAACATATTGGTTTATCGTTACTTTTTTAGCCATGCTTATTCATAACTTACAAGAACTTAATCATGTTATTTCTACATCTCACAACAAAGTTTTTCAGTACAGAACTGTAATTTCTATTCTGGTTGCCAAGTTCATTATTCTTTATTTTAGATGTTACCTGGTTGTTCAATGGTCCTAGATTTTCCTTAAAGTGGTTTGTCAACAGAGCAATGCCAGATGTAAATTCAATCAGTCATTTTTTAGCAGCCAGATTAGAGGCCATGTAGGATCTGTTGTAAGGCTACTCAAACTCATCAAATTTTAACATAGTTCAATAAGGAACAATCAGTTGATGAGGTTTCTGTAGTAAAGGTTAACCCTTTTATCCCAAATATCTCATAATTCTTTTTACTGTCTACTATATATACTCTTCTTTAGAAGTTGATTACAAGAATTTGAAGTTAGGTCGACAAAAAAATCTCATGATTTGTATTTTCCTTTGTTCTCATCACTTGTCTGCCTGCTGTTGTTATTATATTGTAAGGAGAAATTCTGTCTTGGTCACTCATAGGAGTTGAGGTGTTCATGACTTAAGCTTCATCAACATTTCGTTGTGTTTCACGATGCAAGACAAACAATTTTAAAAGAGAGATGTATAAAAAAAAACAAGTCACTCAACTGGGCCTTGTACCTTGTACCAGTGGCTCCTAATTAACAAATGGTAAACACCACAGCGTACACTATTGAGTTATGGATGCACGCAGGAGGTTGCTAAGCATGAAAGAAGCATAAGAGTTGCTCGAGGTGATAGCCGAGAGCGACTCTAGCTTCTTGAGTGCTTAGCAAACCTCCCAAGTGCATCCATAACTCAATCGTGTACGGTGTAGTGTTTACCATTTGTTTTATAACATAACATTGATACATTGTAGCTAAAGAGTTCCCTTTTATTTAACAAATCTTACGTGACCAGAAAAAACAAGCGCGCGCGGAAAAACAGTCTTTGCATTTGCTCACCTCAGCAGCGTACACCCGTGGGCAAATGGGGGACGCTAAATTGACCAATCAGAGCACGCGCTTTACTTTGGTTATGTTATAATTTGAATTCAAATTGGTGCTTTCCTTCTCTTGTCAGCAAGTGTCTACAACAGAGACGACTGATTATAATATGTCAGTAACTGATGTAAGCAGTGAAGATATATAATATTAGGGGGAAAAATGATTTTTCCTTAACTTCATATAACCCAAGTTGTACAACAATCTGATTTAGTAAAGCGTATTACTGGAAAATAGAGGAAAATGCACATGGACACTCAGATTAAGCATTGATTTTTAATTAGAGAATTGATGAAAGATAAGCCACAAGAACAAAAGTCAGATTTTATCATGTTTATAGAAATGTGTGAGTAATTTCCAATATTCTTGGTTGTTAATTGCACCTCAGAGAAGATTTTCCTGCAAGGACACAGCATTTTCTGACTAAATTTTGATAACTTGAGCCATCGTTTAATATTTTTGATATTTAACGTAATTGTCGGGGATAGTCTGCTGTAACTTTAATTACACTGGTTTATGAAAACCATGGAACTTTGGTCATAGTTTGTGTCCTTTGGTTAAAAAACTATCGTCAGTAAACAAGAGATCATATTCCCTAAAAAAAATTCAAACTGAAAATGTGTGTCATGCAATAAAATTTGGTCCCTTATACCCCTTTGTGAAACTCAGTCAAGTAAAAAATTTGGCCTTTTCACACATCACTAATAATAATCAAAACTCTTTCTCATTCATGTGAAATTCACGACAATCACATTGAATACTATTTTACTTTTCTTGTCTTGACCAGTCTTATTGGGCAAAAGATGATGCAATCTCTCATCTTTTTAGTTGCTCAAGAACCAGTGGTGGTCTGTTTTGCAACTTTTATCAATCCACATGAGGTCCATTTTCTGTCAATTAACTCCTGACCACAGCCATTCAAAAACAATAAAATAGCCAGAAATTCATTATGCCAAACAAAATGGTTCATGAATCGTGTTTAATTCAGTTCTTAATTCACATTAGTCATATGTAAATTAAAAAAAATTGTTCATGTGCACAAGAAAAGATCTGACCATCTTTTAAGTATAATTCACAAATAAATAAAAAATTCAAATCATGCTTTACAAGAAAAAAGGCTGATAGTTTCGAAAGAAACTGTTTGGGGCTGCGTCGGTGGGAGTAACGAAATAATTTGGATATATCAACAAAGTTGAAATGGTAAATTGGCCACCGTAATGATTACAAAAGCTGACGTTTCGAGCGTTAGCCCTTCGTCGGAGCGAATAGAGGAATTGTGGGTTGTGTGTGCTTTTAAAGGCAGAAAATGCAATTAGTGGAATGAAAAGCGGTCATTGATCCCCAAGAAAAAAATTGCCTAATCTCGCTTTGCGTAAAAAGTACAAGGGACCCTCATTTAAATGTAGATGGCTGGTTGTGATCCTCCCTTGATAACAATTAAGAACTAAATCACTCAGTTTGTATGCATTTCTTACTCACCATATATAAGCTTTTGACTCAGCTGGACTGGACTCCCTCTGAATAACCAGTCAGTCTTACTTCCTGAGGGTTGAAGAAAAACGTTAGATCGATCATAACAAGTGTCAATAGATTTTTGGTCCAAAGAGTTTGGCATATGAGTGATGGGGAAATTGGTGATGAATATTAAATTGCTTTTTTTATGTCAGTTCTTCGCAATTTTATGGAGGGCTCAAGATTGTTAAACTCATTTTTAACTAACACATCTTTCATGTTTCTTCTCCCACTGCACAGTATTTCAGCCAGTTATCCATGAGCCTCTCTCCACGCCAGATCAACAGAACAGTCTTAATGGAGAGACAGTAGAAAATGGAGGTACTTCACACAAAGAAGCCATACCTACCAAGGATAGCCAGGGTAACACAATTTCGAATTTAACCCTAATTTTATCCCAGCGTCAGTTTGTATATTCTCTATGCTGTTCTCCGTCATTTCCTAAAGTGCTGAAAGGAGAGTTTTGATTGTTAATTCTCTCCTCTAGCTGTTACACATTTCCTTGTAAATGAAGTTACAAGAATTTGGTGTTAGATCAAGATAACAACTTGTACCTGATGAGTTTGAGTATTCTCATTGCCTGTTTGCTGGATAATGTTTAGATACCGTATGGACAAGTTACATGTTTATCACTACTGGGAGTTTTTAGGGTTAATGTTTGATACAGGAGTGATATTTTAAAGAGAAATTAGATGTTAGTACCTCCTGAGGTCAAAAGGTTATCAACTCCCATGAATGACCAAAACAGGATTTCTCCTATTAATCATATCAATACAATATTGAGCAGAGCAATGGGAATAAGGACAGCAAACAATAAGTGGATTATCAGTTGATTCAAGTACAAATTCTCCAAACTAACATCACAAGAATTGAATGGCAGACAGTAAGGAGAATTACTGTTGATGTCTGGGGAGTGAAAGAGTAGCGAGGAAATTTAAAATTCTTACTTAAGGCTTAATGTACTATTTTTTTTTTTTTTAACTGTTTTGGGTATAGTTAAAGATCATTTGCCAGTTTCTTGCCTACACTTCATTCTGTACTCTGTGAGGATGTGTTGACCTTGTTTGAAAGTATTCTTGTAGCAATTAGAATTTGCATTTCTAAGCAACTGCTAAATAATTTTATGTTTTTCTTTCCACTGTACTACATTTATAATAATGTTCAGTTTCTATTCAATTAAGTTTGCGTTTTTACGGGAGGTTATGTAAGAATTATGTAACGCTGTTAGCTATTTATTATTGCCAGTATACTCATTGTTTCCATTAGATAATTTTCATTGCTAGTTGATTTCAACTAAGTCAGTCATTCCATTAGTTTTTGCTGGCACATATTTAAGAGTTTAGTGCTGGACCTGGTTATGCCACAAATTTGGAATCATACACATATCTTCAAATCTTTACATCTAAATAGACATCCATCTGGCAAATATGCATTCACTTTGTGGCAGTAACCCACTGTACTTATTTATCTGCAATTCTTGTCCAACAGAGTTTCATGCAGCCATGAGAGAAGCATTCCAGAGTAAGGTACAACATCCTAGGAAGGCAATGTCACTGTTTCTTAAAGCAGGAAAAGGTAAGCCTTCAGCATTAAGAAGCCTTTAGACTAATCCCACCATTCAATATATGTTGAGAAATGCCATAAATTAATAAACCCCGTGTAGTATAATTTAGTAAATACAGTAATCCTTTTTACATGTATCTGCAATTCCATAGGTCTAGTTCTTGTTGGCAATGATGAAGCTGCCTTGGAATGTTTTGAATCCCTAATCAGCCTGGCCAAGGAACAACTCAATCATGTGCTTACTGAAAAATCCAAGTTGCCATCTTTATCTCCTCTTGAAAAAGAAGAGATTTGTCGACAGGTATGTGCATCTCTTGAACAAGTTGTCTATTTGCACGTCTATAATCATTTTTTCACAGTTTGCTTGCTTTATTCTTTATCCTTTCCCCCTTTTAGTAAGGCAGATGATTTTCTCAGATTTTGCACTCTTGGGCATAGGCTTATGCCCTCATTGTGAGCACTGCAGGACATGCGTTTCTTTGCCCATAGGAAGATTTTTTTTGATCGCTTTCACCATACTTACAATACTAAAAGAATTGGAATATACAGATGAACAAGACACAGAAGAGAATGGAGGACAAGGGTGCGGGACACACAACAGAGTGAGGCTCCAAATTTTTGACATCATGATGTCATGAAGAGGTTTGCCAGGGGGTCTGGTACTCAGTGCCAGTCCCCTTTTAAACCTTGTGCTGAATCGCATTGCTTTTTTCTTCAAAGGTTTGTGAGGTCTTCTGCCATATATGCATAGCTGAGATCTTCTGCCTTAATAGGCAAGCCAAAAAGCATTTTGGAATAAATATAATTATAATAATAATAATAATAATAATAATAATAATAATAAATGACAATTTATATAGCGCCCTATCCAAAAGCTCTAAGGCGTTTCACAATCAATAATTATTCTCATTGTAAACTTTTTCCTTTTGTCAAATGTAGAAGTCTCTGAAAAGAGAGGACTCATTAAAGGAGAAAGCTAAACAAGACGACGAGAGGCAAGGTTTGATTACATCAAACGGAGAGAAGACTGAATTAAGAAATGGTTACAGTGAAACTAATACTTGTAGAAGTCAAGAAAATGGACATGTTGCAGTGATTTCTATTGATAGTGATCCAGCGTTTAACTCGGAAACAAGTGGACCTTCAAACGGACAGTCAGTGAGAACTAGTCAAAAAGAATTTGAGGAATCAGAGGTTGTCCAAGTTTCTGATGAGTCAAATATTTGTGTAGTGCAAGAAGAGTCAATGTTTTTTCGTTCTGTTGCAACTATCGTAGAGGAGCATTCTATGGCCTCTTCCGAGAGCTCTATGTCTGATGATGTACGGTTTGGTTCACCTGTGGCATTTGAAGAAGTAGTTGTAGAAGACTGGTCAGAAGGAACAGTGTCCTGTGCAGCAGAGATTGCACAAGATGATGTAAAGATGTGTGTTGTGGAATGTGTAGAAGCCATGCAAGAGGATTTTGAGGTTGCCACAGTGGACAGCGATGATTCTCTGAGTGTTTGTAGTGTTGGGGGTTCAGAAAATGATGTGTATACTCACAATATTGTTGTTGAATGTGGAAAACAGATTGTTGAGGAGGTTCTTCGGAGTCCGCAAGAGAAAGCATTAATCAGAAGAGGGTAAGTTTTTAAGACTAAGATTGCTTGCGAGGAGACTTTTCCAGATTAATTGATTCAAACTGGATTGCTTTTATCGCAGATTGGTACACACCTGCTGTATTGTAAACAGCAAAAGGAATCCAGCACCAATATGTATGATTAATCACAATTCTGGAACACTCTGCTATATAGTGTAAATCTGCTATAAGAACTGGTATTACTTATTTAATTAATAAGTACATCCTCCCATGTTACTGTGTGTCTTCAGTGATAAATCACAGATGACATCAAAATGTGTCAGTGGCACACGAGTGGTGTGTGCCGCTAATGTTCTTACTGCATTTGGACGTCTTCTGTGACTGTTTTGAGTCAGTGTTTGGTCTACTTAACACCATTGGCTGACTGTTGGGAATGTGTTGGTAATGACTGTTGGCCGACAGTTTACTGACAGCCAAAAATGAGAACCATTGTTCACTATTACCGTGATCTATTGATGTACAGAGCCATAGCAACATGGAATCTATTTGTTTTATAAGATAAAACGAAAGCAAAATGTTGTTTACGTTGAGTTCATCTCAGCATCTAGCTGTCCTCCAATAAATCATAAGTAAGATTGATTAAAATGACTGTGTGTGTGATTCAGTTTGTAAAAGGGTTTAATTTCACTGACTTTATGAGAATTGTGTCCATTTCTTTTTATTAATTCAACACTTGACTGATTCTAAACTTTAGATATGTTGTGAGTGAATTGATTGACACAGAGCAAAGTTATGTTCAAGACCTTGGTTATGTTGTTAAGGTGAGAATTTTACTTATTTTTTAACTCTACAGCATGTAAAACCACTGTTGTGAGTGAGGCCTTATTTATCGTTTATAACTCGACAGCCAATGTCATATTGGACATGTGCTAATCAGATTACATGAAGCATTAGGTTAAGCTCTTTGAAGTTTTTTTTTACCCTTGAATCTTCACGATCTAAAGAATAATTCTCTGTACTTGTAGTGGATAACTCACACAAGTCATTAACATGTGAATTCTCTTTACGATATCTATACATTATCCAGCAAATAGATAATAAGAATACTCAAACTTATCATGTAGAATTGTCACCTTTATTGAACACCAATTCTTGTAATCAATTTGAATGATAAAAGACATATTTCATTTTTGTAGGGTTACATACCAGAATTTTCTTCAAGTAATCTACCAGTAGAATTAAAAAACAAAGAAAAAGAAATATTTTCCAATATACAAGACATTCACGAATGGCACTCAAGGTAAGAACACGGAGTAACACCTTGTGTAGGTGAAGGAAAAACGTCTGCATGATGATATTAATTAAGGAAAAATGTCTTCATAACATTATTAACGAAGGAAAAACGTCTGCGTAATGATATTAACTAACACAGCAACAATTCTCAACAAAATAAGTTGACACATAGCGTCTACATACCCACTTTGAAAGTCAAGAGTAGTTTGTTACATATATCTTATTAACCAAGCGCGAGGGCCGTACTGGGAGAATATTGGCCAGAGGTCTTGACAGTACGGACCGAGCGCAGCGAGATCCGTACAAAAAAGACCGAGGGCCGATATTGTTCCAGTACGGTCCCGAGCAAGCTTGGTTAATAAGAATAAAGGCTGATAGTTTCGAAAGAAACTGTTTGGGGCTGCGTCGGTGGGAGTAACGAAATAATTTGGATATATCAACAAAGTTGAAATGGTAAATTGGCCACCGTAATGATTACAAAAGCTGACGTTTCGAGCGTTAGCCCTTCGTCGGAGCGAATNGAATGTCACTTGTTCCACAGGCCATGTTTTGTAATTAGTTTTCTCCCTTAAAATTTTGTACTGAATTCATTTCTATTTCGGTCACGTCTACATGATAAATTACTTTAATTTAGAAATACATCATTTTATAAGTATTTTAATTAGCCATAGAATTGCCATCCTCTTAAAGGAACTAACATTTTTTTTTTTTTTTTTTTTCATTCTCGCCATCCAGCGAACTGTGCAATCATTTGAAGTCCTGTGAAGATGAGCCTGATAAGATTGGTGAAGTTTTTGCAGAATCGGTAATTAACAGTGTCCATTGAAGAACCCTTTTTGATGGATTTATTTCATTTCAGTTCTTGTGTTGCAAAAAACTACTTACACGGAGGAAGTGCGAGAGTACCAAATGTTTGAAACATAATTTCAACGTGATTCTCTTGTATTTAAACCATTTTGTTCTACTTGGCAGGAACAAAAACTGGAAAAACTGTACTCGGAGTACTGCAGAAACAAACCAAAATCGGACTTGTTGGTCCAAAAATATGCCGACTCCTTTTTCCAAAGCTGCAAGGAAAGACTGGGTCACAGACTGCAGTTGGCTGATTATCTTATCAAACCTGTTCAGAGGATAACTAAATATCAACTGTTACTCAAGGTAGATATAATGATTATTTCTGTTACATGTATGGTTTTCGCAAATGAGAGATATGAGCCTGTATGAAAGCAATTGAATAAAGGCTGATAGTTTCTAAAGAAACTGTTTGGGGCTGCGTCGGTGGGGGTAACGAAATAATTTGAATATATCAACAAAGTTAAAGTGGTAAATTGGCCACCGTTACGATTATAAAAGCTGACGTTTCGAGCGTTAGCCCTTCGTCGGAGCGAGTAGGGAAATTGTGGGTTGTGTGTGCTTTTAAAGGCAGTAAAAGGAGCTACGTGATTGGTGCGAACATGGCAACGAGAAAAATACGAATAAATTATGAAAGCAATGTTTGTTCTTTTTGTAATGATAGTTTTTTCACTATGAAAATAGTGCAGACATTTTTTTCTTGTAAAGTTATTCAAAGAAGTTACGTGTGGAGAATCAAGTGGAAAACTGTCTTAGAGCACAGTTCGATTGGGTGTTGTGAACCCAAAATCAAAGTAACCGAAACGGCCAGTCAGAATGTAGGATAAAATACTGTAACAAGGGGTCCGTTTCTCAAAAGTCCCGGTAACTTAACGGGCCCGAAGCCAAGTTTTCAAATCAAAATTTAAAGGATAGAAAAGCAGGTTCTAGCACACAAATTAGTCCATTTTGTTTCTTAAGCTGACAGTTTTATTTTATCATTTTCAAAACTTTTGAAATTCCCATCTTGAATGAAAACAGAACAGCTTTACGGGTCCGTTGAGTGACCGGGACTTTCGAGAAACGGGCCCAGAGAACTCAAAATAAAAACAAGAGAACTACTTGAAGCGCGGGAAAACGCGGGCGACCAAATCGCGACCGGGTTTAGTTTCACATTTGATTGGTTGACAGGGTGGCACGAAATTTTTTGACCAATCACGGAATGAGGTAAAGTAAAACAGTGCAATCTTGGATTACTCCTTACGCTAAGTAAAAAAAAATCGCTGTATTGTTAATTCATGTATCAGTGTCCATTAACTTTAATTTTTAATAATATACATGAAAAAATTTCTCAGTTCTGATTGGTCAAGATGAATGCAGTTTTCAGTTAATTCAGTGCAAAGGAAGAAACAAACCAGACATTCTGATTGGTCAGAATGATTGGTCAATGTCAATGTCAAGGTCAACGTCACTTGTAGGGTTTGAATAAATTGATTTTGCACGTGATGCGCGCGCTTTTCTTCTACGGAGTTATGAGAAGCTACCTCGTATTTTTTCATGTATATTATTAATAGATAATCACATGATTTTTTCGTGCAACTTGGAATAAATAAGCACTTGTAAATTTTTTCAAAGACCACAAATTGCACTCGCCCTACGGGCTRATGCAATTTTGTTAGTCTTTGAAAAAATTTACTCGTGCTTATTTATTCCAAATTGCACTCGAAATCATGTGATTACCTAGACAAAGACAGATATAATTTTTACTTCGGTTTTTTTTTTTTTTTCAGGACATTCTGAAGCATACAGAAAAAGCTGGAGAGGATTGTAGTCAACTAGAGGTTAGTTTTATTATTTTCAATTGGTAATTACTATGCTTAAGGGACGTGATTTTTTTTTTTTTTTTTGCGCGAGTATGTTAGTGCTAAGCGAGCGCAGAGAGTGAGTCACCTCCTCTGGCGTGCAACACGGGCTTCGCGTTCATTTCGCCCTTACATCCGCTGGCGTTGAAAAACGCAGGAAAATTCTCAAGTATTATTCAATTCTTCATCACAGAAAGCTTTAGAAGTTGCCCTTCGAATTCTCAAGCGGACAAATGACATGGTTAACGTAGGAATGCTTCAAGGCTTCGAGGTAAGCGAGTTTAGTGTGCACCAAGCGACAAAACAAGTGGATATTTAAAAGACATCTTTACTTTGGATAACGGATAACAGATAATCTTTTATTTGTACTCGGATTTATACTTGCTCTAAGAAAAAAAGTAACGAAATTGAAAGAAATTATTATAAATAAAATTGGAGTACTAGCAGCCTGGAATAACCATAGTGGCTTAGCGGAGCCAGGGTAGTAAGTTCCTCTTACTGTCATTTCTATCGAACATGACCCTACCGACTTAATGACTTTAGTGGAAATCATGTCTAAGTGAAAGGTTTCAGTTACCTTTAAACATCATTCTTTCAGGTGAAAGCTGAGGAAACAGGAGATCTTTTACTTCAGGTGAGAATTGTATTATTGTTTGCCCAAATTAAGATAGATTATAGTTGCTCTGCTCAAACAAGATGAACAAGATACTTAAGGGAATCAAAAACAGTATAAGAATGGGTCGATTACGACAGATTATGAAGGAAAATTTGAAAATTAAGACGGAATACACAGCTACACTAGATAGAAGGTAAAATGTGCTCATCTGTCAGTGTTAAACCTATAACACCCAAGATCTTATTGTTAATTCTCCCCTAAACCTGCAACACATTTCCTTGTAAATTAGTTGCAAGAATTCGGTGTTAGATTAAGATGATAACTTCAACCTGATAATTTTTAGTATTCTCATTACCTGTTTGCTGGAAAATGTAGGGATATTATAGGGAGAAGTTACATGTTAATCACTTCTGTGAGGTAAAGGGTTAAGCCTTCATTTTCGTTTTTATTTTTTTCTGTCCAGGACGAGTTTATGGTTGTCGATGGAAAAGCGAAGACAAAAGGCAAAGAGAGAAGAGTGTTCTTATTTGAAAAGATAATTATATTTAGCGAGCCAATGACAAGAGAAGGTGGTCTTCCCGAGTTTAGATTTATGCACAGCATGAAGGTAAATATATATAGTTCTAAATGTCCAAATTGTTTAAAAACAAAATCCTCTTTGAACTAAAATATCAACGCCTTTGTTTTCTACGATTCGATTAAAAAATGCGTAGCTTAAGCTACTTTTCCACGAAGTCAATTGTTGTATGTGGCTAATTTTTGTTTGTTTTTCTCGCCAGACCAAAGGTATTGGCCAGACAGAATCAGTGGATAGCGATCCCTGCAAGTGGGCGGTCTGGCTGAGAAAACTGGGCGGCGCTGAAATTTATCTCCTGAAGGCATCTTCACAAGAGTCTAAGGAACTCTGGATCAAGAGTATAAAAGAATGCCATAACAAGAAGAAAACAGGATTGCTTAAAGGTTGGACAATGTTGAGGCAATATTGTAGACTTTTCGCTTGAACAGCCATCGTTCTTTTTCATTTTTTTTTTTTCTTTTAGCCCTTTGGGTGATCGCCGATCTTAACTCTTTAACTTCCATTAGTGATATCAAGGCAGAACTTCTCTTTACAATGTTTTGATACAATGTCAAGTAGACAAGTGATGAGAATAAAGAAAAATATCAATTAGGGGATTATTAGTTGATCCAATGCTAAAATCTCCGAACTGACATCATAAGAATTGTAATGGCAGACAGTTAGGAGAATTACTAATGCGATCTTGGGGAGTGAAGAGATGAAGGGGAAGAAGTTGTATGAGTTAACAGAATTGTTCCTCTATGATGGACTGGTATTGAAGAAATCATCCAAGTACTAAAAGCAGAGGGAAATTCAAAACTGTAAACTTTTCTCTTCAACTTTTGACAACTGCTACCTTTCTTTCGTGTAGAACAAATATGAAAACGAATGAAAATTACTTCATTTTGTTTGTAGCGTGGAATAGATACAGAGGTAGAGGTTCAGAATGTGACAAGGACCAAGCTGAGTAAGTGAATAAAATTTGTTAAGACATGATACTGGTAATCTAACCCCCGGCGGCAGCCATCCCTCAGATTTTCTGCATTAAAAACATCCTGGTCATTTCTATTCAATTCAACGCTCAAATTAGAGAAAATGTCCTTTAACTGAATTCGTGAAAACACCTGTCTTAATCTTCTCTTCTTACTTGATTTGCCTTTATATTTTTAACGGCAAAAGAAAAGCATTTTAAAGAACTTTTTGGTGCAAGCCTTCTTTCTTTGCAAGCTTCCACGAAATTTCGTTGCGCACGTAAGGTTGCGTTGCTAAATGCCTCTGTAATGAACATGTCGCACAATGCCCTCTCACAGTAACTGTTGAAAGGTCTATTTCTTAACAACCTGTCTACATGGCTGTATTTAAGTACTGAAACTTTGCTCAAGAAAAGTTAGACGAGACTGTTGCAGTAGGCGACTTCATTTTCAACTTAATCAGCGCAACAAACTTGTGGGGTAATTTGCGAGGGAAAAAAATTCGAAGCGCGTTAAGGTTTTAGCTACATCATTACGCGACCTCTTTTCATTTTTATCTTTAGCTCCACTGATGGGGGACTCCTCAGAATTCGTACACAGCGGCAGGGTGGGTCGCGCCGAACGACATTCAAACGAAAGCCGGCCTCTAAGAACGCCGGGAAGAGCGTAAAGAGAGATAGAGATCCGAGCACTTCAGAAAGATTACAGGAAAACATCAGAAAATTCCGAACAGAAGAAAGAATGCTAGCGGTGGATCCATCGTCTATCGAAGACGAGTGTGATGGTCTTATACAACAAACTTCCTTGGATGATTCACCTGTGCCTCAGTCCCCTAGGGTGGAAATAAGCGCAGAGCCGAAATTGGCCGAGTTGACACCTGCGGAGCGTTGGCTCAAGTTAGAAACAGAGGTGCGCAGGTCACCTGACTGAAAAAATTAACGCTTATTGCATTTCGCGACTCATATACGTAAGAACGTCGTGTTTACTGGTATTTTTTTTATTGCTTTGAATAGGATAGTTCCCCGTTGTTATTTTTCTTTTTTGTTTTTGTTTTTGTTACATTGCTTGAAGATGGGAAGAACAGTTTACAAGATCGAGGTTTTTTTTAGCTTTCCTGCCTTTCCACTGAACGTCTTGCTCGAACTCTTTGTTAACCCTTAAACCCCCAAGATCTAATTCGTAATTCTCCCAACTAACTATCAGACATTCCTTGTAAATTAGGCAGGGGAATTTGATGATACAGCAAGGTAGCACTGTATGGCTGATCAGGCTTTCTGTTCTCAGAACCTGTTTGTAAGATAACATATATCATATATTGGAATCGTTAGGAGAAGCTACATTGAGTCTTTTGTGGGAGGTAAAGGGCTAACCGTCCAACTTTACTTTTTCAGGAAAATCAGCTCAACAAGTTGTTACATTTGACCAGGATGATAGCAGCCAGGCTGTTTCAAATCAGAGACCGTGAAAGAGCGCTTCAACTCTACAATGACGTCATAGCTACAACTCTGTGTTTGGAAGAGATGAGGAAACTTGAAGGAGTAAGTGTTCAAAATGTCATATTTGACCTCGAAACTTCGCTTCTCGGCCAAATATTCATTTTTCGGACAATCTCTCAGCCGCGGACATTATCAGCCGACATACCAGCCGCCCGAAGGGGTTTATTTACTAAATATACCATAATCTAATATCTGTACATTGTAACATCCGGTTTTTTCTTACAAAATAAAGCCGAGAAGAAGCTGTGACGTAGCGTCACAGTTTCTTTAGAAACGTACCCCCTTTATTCTTTAGTGCTAGGATCATGTGTGAAGTGGGTAGCTTCTTCTCCACTGCTGTATCTTTCCCCGATTTCTGTTGGGAGTGTTACCTCACAGGTTACATTTACCTCGAATTGTTTATCAAGTTCCCTTGCAGGCCTTGGGATTCAATTACATGCGTTGGAGGAGATAGGCTTTCCTGGGATCGTGTCTCGCCTAGTAAACTAATCTGCATGTTTGTCATTTTGTACGTTGTAGTTGTTTGCTACACGAGACCTCTTACTCAATAAAACTGTGGATGTGTACGAAGCGTATCGTAAAGAGCAGATAAACGCCAGGTAATAATACAAAACGATTTTAACAATTTCTCTCTTCCTTTACATCATCCGTTCCGTTACACCACTGAGACAATTCTCTCGGTTTGTTGCAGTTCTGATATAGAAGATTCTTACAACTCTCTGACAAGTCTTCTTAATGAAACGGCTGGGTAAGTTAAGTTATCTTCTTATAAATTGCGAATGCATCGTTTATTTCGATTATTCTTACCAATGAACTGAAAGCTACTAAGAAATACTTTAACGTGGTACTGTTGCTGTGCTGTTCGACGTGGTTCTTGCTTTTAGGTCGTTGTGTGAAATCCTAGTGTGCTACCATTCATACGAAAACTGCTAAACGGTGTTTCCATGTGGTGCTGTATACAGGGTTCGTACGGGTCTCGGAAAACCTGGAAAGTCCTGGGATTTTATTTTGACATTTTCCAGTACTGAAAAGTCCTGGAAATCTGCTTTAATGAAGCAATAAGTTTTCAGAATCAACGTTGTGATAAATGTATGTAGACCTTTAGGAGTATTGATTTTGAAATCTTGGGAATGAAAGTGTGTAAGGTGAAATTTGGAGTCCTAGGAAAATCAATTTGAGTCCTGGGAAAGTTCTGGAAAAGTTCTTGTAATTAATTTTGTTCTGAAACAGGGGACGAACCCGGTGTATATTAAGCTTTGCAAAGTGGCTCAAATTTTTAAGTTTGTGGATGAATCCCTAGTATGTGATCATTCAAATGATATCTACCGGCACAAGATAGTACGTAACTTCCAAAGACTTCCGGATCCCAAAGTGAGAACGACTGAAAGTGAACGAGCAACCAAAGTTTAATTTTACGGGGATCACATTGCCTTGTGGAAGTGCTATTTCCAATATGGCGGCGAAAGCAGTCACATGCGCAGTGTAGCTAGGTGTGCTAACCAATACCAATAAGCACATCTGCTCTCGTAGCACAGTTTTTTTTTCTATATGGTACTGATTTGCCTTTTTGTTCATGACGTTTGTACTTATGACGTCTGTGGACGAAACTCTGAAGTGTGAACGTTTAGATAAAAGCCACTGAGTAGTACTTACTTTCATTTCGTACTGTTTATGATTAGAATTCCTTTCTTTTCCTTTTCGTATTTGCAGATTTTCCAGTGTAAGTAAAGGCACCACATGGTCAATTGTCCTGTACAGTATTACAGCTGCGGCAGCTAGCAGGGAGCAGCACTGGAGGGAGGCGTCCCAAGCTTTCTACCGGGTCTCCATGGTGTACAGCAACCTGCAAGCAACCGCGTGTGCAGGTACCACGCTCTCACTTTGCTCCCGCTTCTTGGCACTTTTTTCTCTCTTCCCTGCAGTTTAACCGCACTTTTTTCGCAATTCAACTACACTTATATCGCACTTTTTTCGCGCTTCCCTGCACTTTCTGCGTGCTTCCCTGCACCTTCGTCGTGCTTCCCTCGCACTTTCCTCGTGCTTCCCTGCACTTTCCTCGTGCTTCCTCGCACTTTCCTCGTGCTTCCTCGCACTTTCCTCGTGCTTCCCTCGTACTTTCCTCGTGCTTTCCTCGCACTTTCCTCGTGCTTCCCTCGCACTTCCCTCGTGCTTCCCTCGTGCTTCCCTCGCACTTCCCTCGTGCTTCCCTCGCACTTTCCTCGTGCTTCCCTCGCACTTTCCTCGTGCTTCCCTCGCTCTTCCTCGTTTCCCACACTTTTCGCACTTCCCCGCTAACCAACACACTATCGTATTACTCTATATTCTGGTGTAAGTTTCTGAAGTTGTTCTTTTCTCAATCAAAACAGAAAGTAATAAGGACCCAGTCTGCGGCAACTGATGCAATTCTATATATCTTTCGACACTACTGAAAATTAATCCAAAACTTGATGTGAGAACCCACCTCTCTAAGCAAAGTCCGCTTCAACACAAAAGCTTTTTTTCTGCTCAGTTGACAGTTTGTTAGATGCGCACTGGATGTGTTGCCAAGCGGAAGATTACTCAACTGCCCTACAATTTCTTTACAATGGATTCATTCGGGCATTAGCTGCAAAGGACTTGATGAGATGTCTCAGGTGAGAAATGTTTTGAAGTCTGTACCTAAACAATTATTTTAATCTGGATATATCAACAAAGTTGAAATGGTAAATTGGCCACCGTAACGATTACAAAAGCTGACGTTTCGAACGTTAGCCCTTCGTCGGAGCTCCGTTGTTGATATATCCAAATTATTTGGTTAATAAGAGATTTATTATCGATTGAAGTTCAAAGGGACACAAGTGCGGTATCATTTGGGACCATTCGGGACAGTGCCCGGTCCAATACTGAGAGAATATTGATCGGCAATAGAGCATTTTTATTGGTCGATTTTAGTTATTGGCCCTCTGACTGCCCGAGTCGTGTAAGTAATAAATACGATGTATGCCCCGTTCCCCATGCAAGCAAGTGTGAAGAGAAAAGAATGTCACTTGTTCCACAGGCCATGTTTTGTAATTAGTTTTCTCCCTTAAAATTTTGTACTGAATTCATTTCTATTTCGGTCACGTCTACATGATAAATTACTTTAATTTAGAAATACATCATTTTATAAGTATTTTAATTAGCCATAGAATTGCCATCCTCTTAAAGGAACTAACAGTTTTTTTTTTTTTTTTTAACTGTTTTGGGTATAGTTAAAGATCATTTGCCAGTTTCTTGCCTACACTTCATTCTGTACTCTGTGAGGATGTGTTGACCTTGTTTGAAAGTATTCTTGTAGCAATTAGAATTTGCATTTCTAAGCAACTGCTAAATAATTTTATGTTTTTCTTTCCACTGTACTACATTTATAATAATGTTCAGTTTCTATTCAATTAAGTTTGCGTTTTTACGGGAGGTTATGTAAGAATTATGTAACGCTGTTAGCTATTTATTATTGCCAGTATACTCATTGTTTCCATTAGATAATTTTCATTGCTAGTTGATTTCAACTAAGTCAGTCATTACATTAGTTTTTGCTGGCACATATTTAAGAGTTTAGTGCTGGACCTGGTTATGCCACAAATTTGGAATCATACACATATCTTCAAATCTTTACATCTAAATAGACATCCATCTGGCAAATATGCATTCACTTTGTGGCAGTAACCCACTGTACTTATTTATCTGCAATTCTTGTCCAACAGAGTTTCATGCAGCCATGAGAGAAGCATTCCAGAGTAAGGTACAACATCCTANATTAAAAAATAATAAAGGCTGATAGTTTCGAAAGAAACTGTTTGGGGCTGCGTCGGTGGGAGTAACGAAATAATTTGGATATATCAACAAAGTTGAAATGGTAAATTGGCCACCGTAACGATTACAAAAGCTGACGTTTCGAGCGTTAGCCCTTCGTCGGAGCGAATAGAGGAATTGTGGGTTGTGTGTGCTTTTAAAGGCAGAAAATGGAGCTACGTTATTGGTGGGAACATGGCAACGAGAAAAACATGAATAAATTAGTGGAATGAAAAGCGTTCGTTGATCCCTGTGGGATTTAGACTGCCGGTTTGAAAGATGAGCTTTTGTTCAAGATTTTTACGGCTTTCCGTGCTACCTAAGTGCAAGGAAAGACCGCAGATTGCCATATGTTGCTTAGAATGATTAGGTAAATTAACTTGTCATTGACTCTGGAGCTCGCCAACCTATCCAAAAAATAATTTCACCAACACTCCCTTTCCTTGTAAAAATCTTTTGTCGACGAGAAGCATACAGGGAAGAAAGAAGTTCTACCACCGAGCTACAGACAGCATGGAACCAGTGGGTGAGTTAGCATGCGTGGGGTTTTCAAGGAAAATTCTGAAGCTCATCAAAGAAGAAAGCAGGGGAATGGCTTTATTAGGATTCAATACTATATTTATTCTTTGTCCTCATTACTTTCTTTTAACTAGACTCGAACAACAGGCGTTGCACTTAGTGGACAAAATTAATTCACTGGGCTCCAAAGTCCATCAAATGATGGATGACGAGGACGAACTGAATACTAGGCAACAGGTCAGCACCCACCATGTGGAGTTCTTGGTCAACATGAGCCGTGCCACACGACGAAGGGACTGGGCCTGGTTTGAAATCGCTGAAACTGAACTGCAAAAGTTGTATGTATTAAAAGCAGTGTCTTGATATTTGCCGCAACTGCTTAACCCTTTCATAGAAGCCTGTTTTTTGTCCTATTTTAAGTTTATCAAAGGAATTCCATCGGCCACGGCTTGTAAATGGAATTGGGAGTGAAGAATAGGAAATGAGGAAAGGGAAACCGATTTGGATACTGGAAACTCAGGAATGGGGACTACAGAATGAGGAGCAGGGTTGGGGAATGGAAATTAAAAAAAAAAAACAAAAAAACCTAAGGAACCATATGCATTCAGTGCAAATATAATTTGATGGTTCTTTCCTCTTTGGTACCCTTCAATTTTTGCTGGCAGTAGACCTTTAGATTCTAAGCCTCTATGGTCTAAACTAACGATTTTTAATAGTATAATAATATACATGAAAAAATTTCTCAGTTCTGATTGGTTAAGTTGAATGCAGTTTTCAGTTAATTCAGTGCAGAAGAGAGTTAACTCAGTGCAGAAAAGGGTTAATTCAGTGTAAAGAAAGAAGCAAACGAGACATTCTGATTGGTCAGAATGATTGGTCAAGGTCAATGTCACTTGCAGGGTTTGAATAAATTATTTTTGCACGTGTGCGCGCACTTTTCTTCTGTGTAGTTATGAGAAGCTGCCTCGTATTTTTTAATGTATATTATTAATACATAATCACATTATTTTCTCGTGCAATTTGGAATAAATAAGCACTTGTAAATTTTTTCAAAGACCACAAACTGCACTCTCGCCCTACGGGCTCATGCAATTTTGTTTCTCTTTGAAAAAATGTACTCGTGCTTAGTTATTCCAAATTGCACTCGAAATCATGTGATTACCTATACGTGTAGTCGCTAGTTTCACACTTTATTTCTTAGCTCACAATCGAGATCAATTTTATGATTCGAATGTATGAGCCTTTGGAATCCGCAACTAGGCTAACTGAAAACTTCAACAACCAACATGTCCGACTCAAAAAAAACAAAACGTTCCAGAGGCGCCTGATATGCTGACGTCTGTTCTCAACCTTACACTGC